CTGGCGCAATATGGTTCATGGGGTCACGAAGAGTCGGACACGACTTAACGATTAAACAACACATTTCTTACAACACCTTTATCCTATATCAGTTACATTTTAACATGGCTACACTTGACATTTGCTGGCAGAAATGAGTGAGATTACATCACAAAACGCTCATGTATATCTGGATAGAGCGTGAACTTATTTTCTTTCTCTTTTTTAAAGTTTTTTTTTTCTTAAATGTAAAACCTATTTTGGGGACTACAATTTTTAGGTATTTCCAATCTCAAAATACTTGAAATGCTGTGGCTAATTTTCAAGAATCACTGTACTACTGTACAGAGCTCCAACTACCACCAAAAAAAGGACTCAGGTTTTAGCTATTACCCACTCTTGCTCTACATAGAGGATCCACTTTCCTGTATGGTTTATTATTTTTTTTCCTGAATTTTGTCAAAGTAATGACTAAATATTTTCTCAGCATTGCAAATTTTTGAGAATTAAACACTTGAGGAATGCTATTGCAGTAAAGCTAATGTCTTTGCATGCAGAGGCCCCACTTCTATTCCTAGTATTGCCAGGTAAGGCTGATATCTGTGTCTGGAATTCTGAAGAACTATCATTGATCAGGTCTGCAAAACTAAGTTAATGGAACAAAAACCTGACTTGGTTAAAGTAATTTGCTTTGAGATAAAATCTGCTTTCATTTGTAAGATTCTTCTTCTGTGTTCCCCAAAATACATGTAGTAGTTGAAAAGGCAGCTTCAAATAAAGATGCTGAGAATATATGAGAGATTAATCTTATTTTCAATCTGCAAGGCAGCTTAAAAATTTATGTCCGCTAGGAGGTGCTGCTGTACATCAAAGAAGCCTGGCATATGCACAACACAGTACTAAAGGGAAGAAAGAAATACAAAGGAACATGGAGTGAGTAATTGCGCTTGATTTTTATTTTTTTTAAAAATCCCACATATTTCATTATACAAATTAAAATACACTGCTGAAAAAAATGAGATCACTGCTTTATTTACTTGCAAAATAAATAATACATTATAGTTAAGTAAATATCCTAAAGCACACAAGCAGCCAGCACAGATAGACTTCCACCATAAACGAGTATAAGCCATGGTGGGGGACACAACTACTTTTTGGGGAGCCCAGACATTCTGCTTAGCTAACTGGCATATCTGATCCTTCCCATCGGAATCAGCCAGATCCCATAGATCACATATATAATCATTGCAGATAACAGAAATTCTTTGCAAGAAAGATAGCACAGGTAAGTCTCAACACAGTTAGTGAATCCCATGAAACGTGCAATCAAAATGTTTAAACATAATGTTTTATATGTATATTAATGAAATATTACAGTAAAGGACAAAATATATACTCTTCATGGTTAACAAAATTGTAGAGGTTATAGAAAGCAAAGTAAAAACAAAAAATTCTATCATATATTCAGGCATCCCAACATTTTGTCCTATTTTAGCGTTGCTATGACCGTGTTCATGTTGTTCAATTACATCAAATGTTTTGTTCTAATGTAATAAGCTTCTTTTTAAAACTTGTACTGTTTTCTCTGATGGAATCTTCCTTTTTGCACACACGAAGATTAGCAGCATCTAAAACTCCAACCATACCTGGCCGTGCGCAAGCTTCAATTGCACACATGCTAGCCTCACATTAACTAAATTTTGGGTTGCATTAAACACAACCTGGTATCAATTTACAATTCACATTAAATTCAAACTCGCACTGTGACCTACCTGCATTGAAATGTGGGATACTTATCCCAGTAAGCATGGAAAGAATTGAAGTCTCTTTCATGACTAATATGCTATGATCAGTTTCATTCTTTAAGGTAAATGATACTGATAAATCTGATTTTCAAAAGGATATAGAGGCAGATAGAATATTTACATGTTGCCATTTTGTTTTGTACATAGCTGCAAGAAAACCAACAGAGCCACCAGTTCTATTGCAGAGGTAGAAAGAAACTCTCTGGATGAGGTTATGTGTGTGATGCTCTGACATTTAAGGCAGTTGGTCTTTCTAAGTTCCCAGTAAAATGCAATGTGGCAACAAGAAAACCAAAGTTTATACAACACTATAAAATTATTGGTAAACACAGATCCCTTGGTTGTCGTCTTTAGTTCAAGCAGGCAACTCCTGTCTTCTAGTCCATCACAAAGTAGAGACAGATGCAGTTTGCTAGGAGATCAACTCTGGAAAGCTTTGAAAGGAAATATATTTAAGAAGGGATTAGAAGAAGGAAATGAAGGAGGCTTGGCATGTGAGGAGCTCTAATGAAGTATTTCAGTTAGATCCATAAATGAGTAGACAGCATGCAGAACAGCTTCATCAAAGGAGATATCAGACACTTGATCTGCAAGTGTCAAACTTGGAAAGTCCCATTGCTGGCTGTCACTGACATGCGGATGCAGTAGAGCAAACATCTGAAGGAGACTTCCAGATTCTTATAGTTCCTGGAAGTGCAAAACAGAGGCAGCATTATTTTGGGAAGGAAAACATGATGTATTTTCATGCACAGAGAACTGCATAATAATTTTCTTCCTCCTCTGAATAACCTTACAAACCACAAGAAGTTATCACTGATTTGGAAAACTTCAGACAATCAGACAATTAGCATTATTTCAAGAAAATTAATAACGACAAAATGAGCCTGTTACATTAAAAAAAACCCTACAAAAATTTGTAGAAACTGAAATCAAGAGCTGTTATATGCCCACCATACAATCAAACAAGAAAAGGTGGTGGGTACACTTGGTGGGAACACGGCAAAGTTCAATTAAAGTATTAAACATTAAAAAACAAGACCCTACTCCATAGAACCTAAAATTAGATCTCGTGGAAGACAACAGCACTCAATGAATAAGGAATGTCAAGAAATATTTTACACTAACTTTGGATTTCTTTCCATTGGAATGAGGGCTTGTGACTTAAAAGGCTTCATAGAAAATTTTGCATTTGAAAGAGAAGAGTGATAGCATCATAAGGATATAGTCATTTTATCAGGGGAAGAGAATTATTACAAAACCTGATGACTCTAGAGGTAATAATGCACAAGTGATTTTGTCCGTCACATTGAACTCAACAACTGGATTCAAACATCCCATTTAGCCATAATACAATTAGTTTGGTTTTGGCTTAGAATGTCTTTACAAGCGTGCATTTGAAGTGACTAGAGTGGAGGTGCAAAAGTCACAGGCAAGAAAAGGAAAAGAAAATGGTTGTGAAGGGTTAAAATAAAACATGTTGCTACTTAAGTCCAAAAGGGTAGAACTTGTGTTATGACATTATGCACATTTCATTATTTTGGTTAGAAAAGGACACCTATGCAAAGCACCCTTCCATCTAATATTCAGAAAGCCTGTGAAAATGGACCTATTTAGTAGAGCTGCTGCTGCACTGCTGCTGCGCTGCTGCTGCGCTGCTGCTGCTGCTGCTGCTTATTATTATTATTATTATTATTATTATTATTATTATTATTATTATTATGTGCCTTTGAGTCAGACTTTGATTCCTAGCAATGGCCTGGACAAGTCCCTGCAGTTTTCTTGACATGATTTTAGAAGTGGTTTGCTGGGAGGAAGTGACTGGCCCAAGGTCACCTAGCTGGTTTTGTGCCTAAGGTGGGACTAGAACTCACGGTCTCTCAGTTTCTAGCCTGGTGCCTTAACCACTATACCAAACCAGCTCTCATTTCTAATAATTAAGGTTAGATTATTCAGGATGCCTTACAATAGTCGGTACTATGGGATGGATATTTAATATTTGATGTTTTCAATGGTGTTGCTTCCGGGAATCCAAGCCAGTATAACCAGTGGTTCTAGGAGTTGTAATTCAACAAATCTGGTGGCTGAGATGTCCCTCACCCCAATTTAATGGATCATATAGGCACATGCAAAAATCATATTTTGAAGAGATAGCTTGAATTAAGCTATGTTTTGGGAATAATGGAGGGGGGAGGGGGACTCCTAACAGCCAAATCCTAAAATTGCAATGCAGGTACAAAGCTTTTAAAGATTATTACATGTGCAGTAATTTGAAGATTAGAACACTGATATACTTTATATAATGGCTGACTTCCCACATTATATTAAGCAATAATAAGAACCCAGCCATGATAGGTTGTGTACCATAGTTTATATCTTAGTATTATATCTAAACAGGGCACAATGGTTTGTTTTACCTCTTTTTTGAGTACTTATGGGGTGCAATTTTTACCCAAATCATATTTTTGTATATAATTTTTAAACTAATAATTGCACTGCATTTTTTTCCTTTAAAAACTAAACCAAACTTTCTCACATCCCCAGTAGAAACACCAGCTATACCTCTAATCTTACTGACAGTTGCTTCCAAAGCTGTCCTTTTAACTATGCAAAGAAGACATCAGTCAAGTTGATGTATGAAAGCAGGGTTGATGGGCAAGATATTCACTTTCTGCATTCTGGCATTATCAAGCAGATCTTAAGTTCTTTCTTTTCTGTTTTCTTTTTCTTTCTAAACTTGCAGATGAGGCTTCTGCCTTATTTTCTCTGATATACTGTTCCCATCAGCGGAATGTTATTTGCTGTAAACTGCTTAGGACACATAAAAAAGACCAACAGCCTGTACAGTCCAGGTTCTATTCCCACAGTGGCCACAAGTAAAACATGAGAGCAACAGCTACCCCTCATTTATTTTCCCAATATATGCCACTGACACTGGAATTAATTTATAGCTATTATGACTGGTAGCCATGAAGTCCTCATCATCTGTTTCCTTGAAAAATAATGTATATAAGTAAATCATTAACACAGAGACCAACAATTGCTGACATGCAATTATGTTATGATACAATGCGTGTTATCATAA